GGAATGTTTTATTCATATCTACATAGCTCCTCCATTGTCACAGCATTAATTATATTATAATCAGTGGAAAATGTCACCTGCATGGGTCAAAGTGTGATATGATTTTCTCGTGCATTGCAGCAACTGTTGCTGATCAAAAGAAAGGTTCAAAGCTTAGAGGAAAAGATGGTAACTTGATAAAGATCAAAAAAGCTAACACCGAAGCTGGTGACATGCCTCCCAAATTTGGAGGAGCTAAATTGTTGGATGAAGTTGAACAAGTTTCTGGATTAAACACACGGGCTCTGGGGAAAAAGAGCACGGAGGTTAGTGCAACTGGAGTAAGGATAAAATCTGAATTTCCAGCCTCTAGAACCAATAGATTTTCATCAGTGCCTGCATGGGACAGTAGGCCTGGTGCTTTGGCTGATGTGAGTGATGATGGTAATCATGCACCTATATCAAATTCTCAAAAGGAATCGAAGCCGCTGCTCAAACTCAAATTTAAGAATCCTATATCTGAAAACCAGAGTACTTGGGCTCCTCCTAAGGAGGATGAGAGAAGTTCTGTTAAGGGGCAAAGATCCAAAAGAAAGAGACCCTCACCTCCAAGGGAAAAAGTGTCAACCAAGAATGAAGATGATGCGTCACGAGTATATGGAGACAGAAGTATGGATGAGATCATGGATGCTAATTGGATACTCCAGAAGTTGGGTAAAGATGCTATGGGGAAGAGAGTGGAAGTTCATCAACCATCGGACAATTCCTGGTATGCTTCATTTTTTTCCCCTACCTCCTATGTAGCCCTCTTGCCTTTCAATTGATTTCCCCTTGTTCCCCTGGACCGTTAGGGTGTCCATTTCCCTCAGTGCAGTCTCGTCAATATGAAATCTGTTGTTTCATAGTACAGTTTGTATCTGGAACTTCAAAAGCTAAACTATTTAACCTTTTGGCTTATGAGTGTTAATTTTGAACAACATAGCTGTTAAAAGAAAGAAGTGACGAATTTTGGACTCATCTTTTTAATTATTTTAATTACTTTTTGTTTACCTTTTTTTTTTTAAAAATTTTTTCCAGGCATAGAGGAACAGTAACTGAAGTGTTTGAAGGCACATCATTTGTCTCAGTTGCCCTTGACAATGGGAAGGCCAAGAACTTGGAACTTGGCAAGCAGGGAATTCGTTTTATATCTCAGAAGCATAAGCGACAATGAGTGACAAAATTAACAGTGGATGATAGTTCCATTTTTTCGGAGGTTTATATTACATAGTGCTGAGTAGCAAAAGCTTTGAAGATATGAAGACTAGACTCTAGCAGTAGGTTTTTTTGGATTTAACATAGGCGTACTCTTCGGTGGCAATTCAACCCCTGCCTCCGAAGCTGTGACAAATCTGAGCACTTTTTGATTTATTGCTCAAATTTGGGGTGCTTCAATGTGTCCTGGGTCTCTGTGCAGCTAGACTTTATTGAAGGACAAGTGCTGCTCCAATTTGTCCATTTCCCTTCTTTTATTTTTCTTATATACGCCTTGATTCTTATTTGAACAGCTGTACTAGAGAAAGAGTTCAAACCACCCTTCAAACGTGCGTTTGAGCCTAGCCATTTAGTTTGTGCTGTATTTGTAGTGAATGGCGCTCAGACTTGCAGTATAGCCTTTGAGCTGCTTATACTTGCTGTTTGTACAGGAAATATATCCAATAAAGATTGACATTTGATTAAGAACTACAGTTCTTGGAAGTTCTTGTAAGTTACATAAGAATGGTATTAATTGCTCATCTTTGTTTTGGGAGTGAACAAGGTTATTCTGCATTTGGGAATTTCTTGGTTTCATTGGACTATTTGGCTAGAGTTTGGTTTAATCAGATTGAGTGCAGCTATGCCGGATCGTTTAGTTGAGAATGCCTAATGCTCCTTATGCTAAGAGTCAGGTGTTTTGGAACAATGAAAACAGTTACCAGGCGTTTCCCGTCTTTTTTTTTGGGTCTATTGTCATAATCTATACCTACTTCTATTCCTAATCCTATTCTAAACTATATTAGGGGTTGACCCGATAGGGTCACAGGGGATTTTTTTGGGTCCTGCTCGAGTTTGGGAGAATTTAATCCAGTTCTCACATTATATACGAACTAATTCTCAGTTATCTTGAATCAGTGCTTTCTCTCGGCCAAAAAAATATGACATTGGAAGAGATCTCAAGTTTTATACCAACGATCAGACAATAAACACTCTCTTGCAACTCTCTTAGTAGGTGGCAACTGATTAACGGACAAAGCAAAGTCGAGACAAGTTAGCTCAACTGGTAAGGATGAACCATTTTCTGCTAGAAGTTGGCTCAACTGGTATGCATGGATAATTTTTTGATTTGGAAGTTGACCCGATTGGTAAGACTTGACTACTTTATCATAAAAAGGTAGCGTGTTCAAATCTTGCTGTCCAATTCCTTGTAAGCAACGTAGCAACTGATCAACACATTAAGTAAAGCCCACTAACCCTAATCTATAGTGGTGATCAAAGACGATCCTATCCGAACATTTTTCTGCCGAAAAACAAAAGCAAACAAATATTTAGATTATACATTGATAACAATAAACATTCACTTGGGTCTTCTCTAATTTGTTGGCAATTGATCAACACATTAAGTAAAGCCCACTAATTTTCAGATTTTACATTCATATGTTTATAAAAAGCAGGGTAAAATATCAGGATGACCCTCAAATTAATGAGTTAGTTGACTTTTAGCTCTACAACTATTAAGTGCATATTTTTGCCTCTCGAAATTGTAAAAAGGTATATTCCTCACCCTTTTGGTTAGAGATAATTTTAGAAACCTCCCCAAGATTTATGTTGATATTACTTGGCATCCCAAAAGTTTCAAAAATATCACTAACCTTTTCTAAAATCATACATTTTGTAACATCTAACCCTTGTATCATTAAAATATTCTTATAATAATCAATTAACGAGAAAGATATATATTTTTTACTAGTTCTACCATTTTGTGTTGTTTTACATTGAATTTTCTATCAAATTGATTATGTATAATATGAGATTTACATGTTTTGCTTAAAAATTTACTTTTACATAATATTTTGCTTAAAAATTTACTTTTACATAATATTTTGCCTAAAAATTATTAAAGCAATGAAGATATTTTGTCAGTTCGTGTGCTATGATAGCTATTAATGGTCCCATCTCACTGATATGGGAGTTGAGTAATATTTCTAAAACTTGAAAGGTGCGAAGTGGCATTACCATAAATCTCATGAGAGATTTCTGAAATTATCTTTAATCAATAGGGTGAAGAGTATTTGTTTTACAAGTTCATCGATCAATTATATAGTTTGGACGTCATTCAAATTTTTTACCCTAAAAAGTATCCCCCATACCACCACCAATACGGAAGAGAGGCATTACATTCAAACAAATATCTACAAGATAAAAATGTCATGAAGGCGTTTAAATTAACTGCATTTTTTTTTTTGGGTAAAAGTTATAATTATAGGTTAGTCTCATAGAGTGAAGTTAATCTCATGTCTAGTGTTTCAGAATGGACCGCATATATATATATTTTTTCTTTCTAATGGAAATTAGCATGTTTAAGCTAGATCGGGGAGGTTAGGCAACCTATTAACTTAACCTCACTATATTAACTTGCAATAATGGACTTACCCTAGTTGTTTATTAGGCCCCAAAATTTGAGGTTGAGGCAGTTATTTGTGTGTTTGCTTGATTATCTCAATAACAATTCGACTTAACTCGTTTATACCTCTATCAATAATTACGTTGGAAAAAAAAATCAATTACCTCATAATTAAGAATGACAATAGAGCAGGTTTGTAGCAGCCAAGGGACACCTATTTTCACACAACTCCCCCAAATCAGCCCCATTCCTCTTACTGGTGCCCATTTTTAATTTTTCTTTTTAAATGGTGATGTATTTAATCCCAAGAATAACATGTTTAATGATGTGTCTAATTAACCCCAAAAAACCATTACTAATAAGAAACTCCTCTAAACTGGGAAAACTACACTTGTGATGCTACTACTTTAAAGCTTTATATCCAATTTAACAGCAGTAAATCATGGCACAACTTGCAAACTGGTCTTCTCATAGGCCACAATTTACTACTAAACTATTAGTCAATAAACAAGGCAGGAGCAAAGTTTACCCAAAGCTAGTAGCATGTATAATAATAACATACAAAAACTGAATATAATTGCAATTATGGAGATCTAGGGACAGTTTGATATAACTGAAGTTTGAAATCTAAAAATTAAGTGCTGAAGGTATTATGTCGCCGAATTGATTAAATTATATATGTTTGATAACTGATTAAATTACAATATTTAATTAAAATATTGAACAAATAATATGTTTTTATCTTTAAAAATAATTACCTTTATTTGTGTATTTGGAGAGAAAGAGAAGTATATGAGAGAGAGAGAGAAAATAATGAAACAATTTAGAGATAGCTTAGTTATTAAGTGTGTGTATTTGTACGTGGGCATACGTATTTGTGCGTCGAACAAAAAGAGAATAAATGTGCGTTTTGTGTTAGAACTTGTACGGAAAATATGTTACATGTGTGAAAAGTGAAGTATTTTTTATAGTCAATTTAGAAAATTCACTGAAAAATTTTCCTTAAAATTTCGTACACAAATTAAGTAGTAGCTTAATATATGAAGTGGTAAGACATTTTTATTATCAAACATGCTGAATTCAAAAAATTTTAAATGAATTAATTTTTAGCATTAAATAGAACTATCAAACCCACTCTTAAATTTATTCTAATTAAGACTAATTTATAATTATTATATTTATCTCATATTATTTATTCATATTTGTTAAGTGACGTGGGGATGAAACTAGAGCAGGAGAGTAAAATCTCCATGGAAAATTGTCACCATGAGCCCAAATTACCAGACTTTCCATGGTAAATGAAAATTAGCATCTTTAGACCTTTTACTCCCACCAAAAGGAAAAGGACCAAAAAAGAATTAATAATAATAAAAAGCAGAATGAAAGGAGGAAGTAGATGAAAGCTTAGAGCATAATAAACATACAAAAAATCAGAATAAAAGCCCAAATTTCCATCACAGAAAAGAAAGATCAAACAAACAAACACCCACAGCCATGGAAACCACTACTGAGATTCTTCACAGCAGCAGCAGCAGTAGCATTAGTGACAGCAGTAATAACGATAATGGGCCATGGAGCGCCGAAACAACATGGGCAATCGCTTCCGGGTCTCTAGAAAGCTCCGTCACCTTCGATTCGTCCCACGATTCTCCGGAACAACCCGAGTCCGATTCCCCTCGGAAGTTGCCTCCGCTTATCCTAAACCCTCCCGCACCGGATTCTGGCCCCTGCGAAATTAAGCGTGAGTGAATTATGAATTTCGGTTTTTACGTTTGTTTATGAGATTCAATTTTTTTTTTCTGGAGTGAATTTTTAAAATTGGTAGAATTGGTGAGGATGGTCTTAATTTGATTGTCCGGTTCATTTCTACATTTTTGTATTGCAATTATTAGGGTTTTTGAAGGATTTTTTTTTTTTTTTAAGTTTGATTTGGGAGAATATTAAGTAATCACAAATCAGTGGTAGGCAATTTTGGATATGTCTATGATTATTTGTATGTGTTCTTCTCTTAATTATTAGGATGTTGATCAGTGTTCTGGAAAATGCATTATACTAAATTGCTGAACACACAGTATATTGCACGTGCGCACGTGCAGATTAGCTCCATGAAAGTAATACCTTTTGAGGAAATCCGTTCTTAATGGGAAGTTAATTTTTAAGTATTTTTGATACTCATTGCTTGCTTTCATTTTATGGTTTTACATTTCCACGTGTATTACTACAAAGTTGGATTTTATCGTATAGCAGTTGCTATGGTTTAGTTAAAAACTTTTTGTAAATGGCTTCATTTGGTAATCAATTGTTGGATTAGGGTAGAGAAGAATATCAAGTAACGAGTACTATGAGAATTAAAGGCCTTCAAATATGTGTTAAGGTTCTTATTCTTCTTTGTTTAATGTTTATTTGGTTGTGTAGGAGGTGCTGTTGTGTGACATTTTATTTTTAGGCTTGGTGTGTTTAATCTTGTTGTATGTCAAGCTCAGGGATGGTGTTTCTTTTGTTGCAAACAAGAACTGCAAAGAATTATGAGCCAAATTGATGGACAGGGATAAAAAGGGATTTTACCAATTATCTAATAAAAATCACGTCATAAATTTATATTGTATCATACTGTCATTCTATAGCTGTTGCATGTCATGTGTTTTTCTAGGTGAAAGATAAATTAGGTTTATCTAAAAATGTTTTGATCCTTGACAATCTTGGATGTGCAGTACATTTGTTGCAGAAGTACAATATTCGGCAAATTTATGTTCGAAGTACTGCTCGTGTATATGAAGTGTATTGTGCACAATCTAAGAATAGTGGGAATGAGTACCTCTGTACTGTTCGCTGTAGCATTGCTGAAAGAGATGAACAAGTACTCCAAGCAGTCAATGTTGAAGAACTTTCTAAAGAATGTGTGAAACATGCTGCCGTAGGATTACCTGAAGAGAAATCTTCTGGTGGAGAACATAATGCCCCTTCTGACGATGATTGGGTGGAGGTTAAAGTTGTTTCCTCTCCCACACTTGAGAATGGAACAGGATCTTTGTCAAATGAGACAATTTCCAACACAGAGAGGCACATTCAGGTATAATTTTTTTTTTTTTTTTTCAAATTATGTTCAAAATGACCTATTATTTGCATCTCTTCTTGATTTTCATTTTGCAGTTTTTTTCAGATTGAATTGACTGTTTGTAGATTTTGCTAGTGTTTTAGCCTCCCAGGGGAGGCTGGAAAGTAACAGTTAATTGTTATCTGGTGAAACATAATAATTAACTGTTACTCAAATAAAAGCTATACAAGTATTAAAAGTCCACCTGCAACTGCTTCTTTTTCTGTTCTAGGTGTGTACTTTATTACTCAATGATATATTTGAAAGGCCGTCCTACTGCCAAAAGATTCACATGGATTTACTCTGCCAACAAAGACAATAAGAGTAGAGGGAAAATACGACTCTGGTTTCTTTGATTTAATGCAAAAGTGAAAATGCTCGAGTCTTACAGTACTTGCTGAAATATACGAATTATAAAAGCTTTTTCCTATATGATACTGACCTGGTAATTTAGTTTTGGTTAAAAATTGGGACAGCTGATTGACAGGAGGCACGAGTGTCCAATTATTTCTGATATTGCTTTAACCTTCCTTTCACTGGTATAGTTAATTTTTTTAATGCCATGATTATTTGGAAGTAATCCAAAACTGTATCCTTACTTTATCAATATGTATAAAATGTCATTGTGTGGTTAAGGAAAATACTGTATCAACATTGTATAAATTGTCATTGCATGATTAAGGTTGTGAAGTTGATGCATGTCTGTGATGTTTTTGTACTGGCATGTGAGCTTTTCAGTTGACATAGATGGCCTCTCTTTGTTATTGTCTTTCAGGATTATTATGAGGCTACAGTAGAAATCAGTGACTCGGACCCTTGCACATCTCTTATCATTCGTTTACTGTCACTTCAGAATAAAGGTGTTGTGTACATTGATGAAGTGTACATTTATGCTGAGCTGGTTGATTCAACTGATTCAGAAAGTCTGGCTCCTCAAGTAAATGGTGCAACTGGAAGTTCTTTAATGGCCATGTTTGTCCCAACATTACTTCAGATGTCTAAATCTTGTGTAAGTCCAACTCAAGGTGAACAGCCTTCTGACAAATTGGGAAAGGCCAGTAAAGTGGAAAACTTACCAAAATCAATTGATGTAAATGAAAATCCAGCTTACTTTTACCAAGGTCAAAAGTTCTGTGCTGATCAGCAGTACATAAAATTGCAAGATGTGGGTGGGTCTAATGCAGAATCAGTTAAATCTGTGCTTCCTAATCAGACTGTAAAAGAAGATGAATCTTTTGATCCTGTTGTGAAAAATGAGTCTCCGTGCAGTCGTATTGAGAAAGTTCTGGAGCAGCTTGTGTCTCGAGTGAGCAGAATCGAAGAAGTTTGTTTGAGGTTTGAAGAAAACATGCTTAAGCCCATAAACAGCATGGAGTTGAGGATTCAACAGGTTGAGCAACAGCTAGAATCACTTACCAAGAACTCTCATGATTCTGGATTTCCAACTGGCACTAGGATTTGTGCTCCATCATTTTCATGTGAATCAAATTCCAGCTCATTCCATAATGGTGGGAGTGACTGTCAGCCTTTTAGGGGACCAGAGTTGGAAAGAAAGGAAATACCTTCTGTTGCTTTTGCGAATCCATCTGATGGCTTTGCTAACTCAGTGAATTCCCCACGTTTCCTTCCAAGTCTTGTGGTCACTGTCCCCGAATTTTCTTGCGGTGATGATGAGCAGGATGATGATGTACTGGAATCTGTCAATGAAAATAATGAAGATGATGAAGTGTTAAAGCCATTGAAGGATTCATCTGGGGAAAGAAGGAAAATCGATGATATCTTGGCTGCAGCACTTTCAACATTCTTATCTTCGGCCAGTGATCATCCTTCTAGATGTGAACAAACTTCTATGGTTGCTTCTGATACTGAGATAATTAGCAAAAGGGGGCAAATGGAAAATCTTCAGATTCTTCCAAGCAACGCTCATGAAGCTGCTACCTGTATAACAGTCAGTGAAGAGCCTCCGAAGTATACCCAAATATTAACGGTTACTGCCCCTGAATTCACTTCTGAGGAAAATGGCGGCGAAGAGGATTCAGTGTGTGCCCAGCCTCCTACTACTGAGGCTTCTAGTTTCGCTAGTAAGAAGAGTGAAGATAACAGTGAAGTACCCTTTTGTGATGCTGAAATTGGAGTTTCTGAGGTTACTTCAGACTCATCTGATTTCTTTGGAAACAAGTCAGCATCTGATCTATTATCAATCTCTAATGCTGTTCTGCTTACTGGGCGTGGAGTTCCAAACAACATTCTACCTGGTGATGCCCACTCTGGAGGAGCTCATGTTCAAGATCAATCTTTGCAAGAAAGCACTACCTTCAGTTCATTGAGTTCAACAGCTGATCAAGCCAAAGGGTCTGTGGAAACTGATGTTTGTGAGACTATAAAGGAGACTAATCAAGGGCAACCAAGCACAGTTTCATCACCTACAAAGAAGAATGTCCACTCTTTAGGAGCCGATGTGCAAAACCATTTCTCCAAAGAGGATACTACCAGCAGTCTCTTGGAGAGATGCATCAGTCTGTCTGCTGACAGAGATAAGAACTCTGTACAAAGTGATGTTTGCCAAACTATTGAGAAAACTGGCATTGACTCAGATGAAAGCAAGGATGTTTTGGAAAAGTACTTTGGATGCCATACAAGTGGAGGTTCTCACAAAGAAAGGATTGCTGCTGGTGGTGCACATGGTATTGCTGCTGAAGGGCCTGAAAAATATATGCTGCAAAATGTTTCCAGAACTGGTTCTTTAGTTGATTTTAAATTACCCATCTTAGATGTGCAATTTGCTGCTCATGAAAATTGCAGTACCCAGCCCCCTCTCGAAGCTCTTCTGAGCGATCTGTCAGAATTCAGTTTTGGTGCAAACTCTATTGGTAAAGGTGGTGGTGACCTGGACACAGCAAAGGAAATGGATAACCTTTACAGGGACGATTGTGAAACAATAGATCCGGTAACTAGCAGAAGTCTTTTGGTGGACTTGGGCATTTATGATATAGTTGTCAGTTCAGACGAAGAAAGTGGACATGATGATTACCGTAATACCTGCAATCATCATGAAATGGTTGCAAGTCTCATCTGAGACTGCTCTCTTTGGATACAAAGCGTTTGTGCATATGCTCTATGGGTACCAGTCCTGAACATAGATTTCTTATATGGTAGTTATATGGTAAGCTCAGTATTTGCAACTTTGGCTGAATTTCCTCATCATCTGCCTGTATGAGCTTCATTCTGCCGCAGGAGCATTGTCCAATTGGGCATTAGCTTGTTTATGTTGCCAACTTTCATTGTCAGGATGTAAAGCGTAACTTATTTACTTAAGGTTGGTTAAATATGAACACGAGTTTGATGATCAATATATGGATCCTCCTGGCTTGAAGCGGACAACACTATCTTGGTCTGCAGCAGGTAATTAGAGTTTACCACTTGCTTTTCGGTTTGCACTGGCTTGTTTCTTCATGATCCTTTTATTTGACTGCTGTAGTATTAATAATGCTCACCATATCTTTGGGGTCGTCAACTCAGAGATCTTGATTCTTGCATTGAAAACGATGGTCCTTCTAATGACAGCGAATGCAAAACTGGTCAATGTGTAATTAGTTTGAATAATTTTACTTAAAAATAAATAAATAATCGTGGTTGTATAGAAGAATTTTTATGATGCTGTAATATCAACCTCCGACCCCAACTAACTAAAGCTCAGAAGACACTTGAAATAAGTTTAGATATTATGGGTTGTAATATTAGTAGCCAAGCTGCTGTCATTTGGGGGGAATGCGCAAGTGAAAGGTCACTTTCCACTTGCATTGGAAAAATAAAGTTGCTGTTGTTTTTACCATATTAACTCTTTGGAAGTCAAACCTTATCACATTGTCCACATTTTGCAGTTTTCACAAATGAGAGACATTATTATTATTATGGTTTATGCTGTGATCCAGCATCGTTGGGGAGCTGTGACTGGTTAAGGCACAGACTTTGACAAATCCCCAGCTCTGTTCATTCTCTTGTACAGTTGCAATAATTACTAAAAGCAGTTTAATAAAGAAGACAATTCTCACGATGGAATAATTTGTTTTTGGAACTTGTAGTAGTATTATAGTGATTGTTCTTCTTGTCACTACTCACTAGTACTTGCCAAATAAGGTGAAGCTACTAATGAACGAATTGCATCTTCAGCTTAATAAAGAAAAAATGTGTCACAAAACTCGTACTCCCTCTGTTCCATTTTGATAGTCCTAATTTTTTTTCCACACAATTTAAGAAAAAGTTGGAAAAACAAATTTAGATTGTTATTTTTTCTAAAATACCCTTACATTAAATAGAGTACAACTTTATATTAATTATTCATGGAAACTTGAATTGATGGTTTATGAGAATTTGAATTGATGGTCAAGAAAGAATCAAATCCTCATTTTACATTAAATGGGGTAGGTTATATTCAATAACAATCTATATTAAATAAAGTAGTTTATATTAATAACAACCTACATTGAATGAGAGTATTTTAGAAAAATTAAAAAGAACGAAGAAAAAGTGGACTATAATTTGGGACAGACGAAAAAGGAAACAGGATTATCAAAATGGAACGGAAGAAATAATAATTTTTTTTGAAGTATTGAAGACAAAATTTGAATACTAACAAACTGAACTGTTCCTAAAACAAAAGATTTTGGAAGTGTAGACTGAGCAAGTCTTCCTGTCTCTTGGGGGTGACGAAGCATCCATCCATTCTTTTTGGCCCTTAGGAAAAAACTTGTTTTACTTCAATTCTTGCTTACTGTCCATGTACAGACGGAGCAACGTTTTAAAGACAAAAAGATAAAAGACAAAATGACTGTTTCAGAATTTAATGAGATTAAACCACTGGGCATTTTAGAACTGTTCCTTTGTCCTGTTTCCTTCCTTCATCTTCATATCTGCTATAAAAGTTCTTAATGTTAACAAACAACACCTGGCTGCGCTGCCAATTAATTTACACTACTGTTCCAAGCCCTGGCATCTAAAACAACAGTTAAAAAGGGGGCACTAAGTTACAAAATATGTCAATTATAGAGAAGGCTCCCTGAATCAATCCAAAAATCCCAAAAGCCTCCTTTTTCCACACATCAGAATCTACAAAAATCAGTGCACCCCACCACCATGAAAACAAAATTGAGGCACTTAGCCACCATTCCCCCCACTATTGTTCCATTGGTCCCCTTGAGGCCCTTAAAAATTAGTAACTTGTATATATGATAGGACATCAACAGTTGAGGTGTCTAATCGTCTCAAATGGTTAGGCAACCATAATTATTCAAGGTTGAAGTAGTACAATTTTGCACTAATTATGTCAAGGTTTGTGAGTACACATTTTGATAAAAAAAAAAATAAAAATTATGAACTCAAATTAATTGAGACCTCAATTTGGTGATACCATCAAATATTGGGTATATATATATATATACTTTTGACAACCGTTGGACCCCATCCCATGTACAATTATATCATACATGAACAAGAAGACATCTTTTTGTGTCACTTTTCAGCAGTTCACATTGTCCCTAACAAGCATGATATATATACTCTTTTGACATGGTCAATAACCAACCATAATGGCAGGCAGGGAGAGAGCAAAAAAAAAAAACAAAAAAAAAAAAAAGATCATCAGTATATACAGATGTCTTGATAGAGATCTAAGAGGTTAGGGATTCCCCCACTTGTGTAGTAGTAGTAGACTCTAATAATTGGTCCACTTCCCAACTTTGTCTTGGTGCAACCCTCTCATGGATTGGTGCATACTCCTGCAAAAAGAATAGGCAAATCAATCAAAGCAAAGCTAATAACAAAATGGTTCCCTACTTTTTTCTGCAAATCTTACTGGTCATAGCTCTCCAATAATTTATCAACCAACATCATTATACAACAGGATATTCTTGTACTTAATGTAGATATATTATTGTTTTTATTTAACTGTGATTCATATAAAATACCTCCATTTTCTTGATCAACTCCTCTGCTGTGTCAGCTAAAGCCATTATATGTCTTGCTGAATCTGCTATGAAACCTTCCTCCACACCCTTGTCAAACAATGCAAGCAAGCCATCATAGTAGCCATCAACATTTAACAACCCCACCTGTCCAAACCATCTTTCCTTATTTGGTCATTTGGGTGAGGAATACAGGAAGCAAAATAGAAAACCCTTTTTCTAGATTTGGAGAACAAACTGCTCAAAATCAATACTAATATTCTATGAAATAAAGAAAATGATCTCACTGGCTTTTCATGAATTCCCAACTGAGCCCAAGTAATCATCTCCAAGAATTCTTCCATGGTTCCATAACCTCCTAAACAATTGTGAAACAAAAGTTGAGAATGATGAGGGTACATGGTATTTCTGTATTCAGCAGAAAAAAAAAAAAGTGAGAAAAAGGGTGTTTTATTTATAAGGAAACGAACCTGGAAGTGCAATGAAAGCATCAGCATGCTTTTCCATTTCTGATTTTCTTTGGTGCATGTCTGCAACTATTTTTAGCTCTCCATACGTTTTCCCTGATATCTGCAATTAGCATATTCCACATTAGAAACCCTTTGCCGAGCTAGCTCGGCTCAATGTGTAAAAGGACAAATGCTATTTATCACAGGCAAACATCACTGTTTTGCATAATAACTGTTACTGTTGATGAATATAGCAGTCCATCTATGAAGTTTCAGAATGACAACAATGAATGAAATCAAGAAAGTACCTCATGCGGCAGTAGAGCTCTAGGAATTATTCTATAAAGACAAAAAGAGAAAAGAAATGATTGAAATGGCATTTGATCAAAACCTATGTAGCAAGAAAATGATCAATCATCATTTTGAAAGACATACCCGAGAACATGACAACCTCCTTCATATACTGTTTTTGAGACTAATCCCATCAAGCCTACACTTCCTCCACCATAAACAAGATCAATCTTTCTGTTTACCTGAAAATGAAAGGTCATCATAAAACCATGCAACAAGTAACACCACATATGTACACAAGCCAGTTAATTTAAGCAGGTAAGAAAATGCTTTATTCTTATGATCAGTTCATATTAGCTATCTCATCGTACTTTGAACATTACCAGTTCTTTTCCAAGCTGAAGAGCTGCATCACTGAAAGATGATTTGTAACCTGCTCTACTACCACAAAAAACACAGATTCTATTGAACTTTTTCTTTACAGCCTCATTTGCTGACGATGTCCCTTCATCTCCTTTCATTCTCTCTTCCAATAATAATTATTTAAAGGCAGATAAAGGAAAGGAAACGAAAGAAAGCAACAGAGAGTGAGCTGGGAAAAAGATGAATGATAAGTTAAATGCTTATGAGAGATGCAGAAGAGATGCGGAAGAAAACGCAGCTTCCTTTGATACTAACGCTTTCTTTATTCTCAACACACCCTTTTGTCTCTAAAAGCAAGTACCCTATAGTGTTGGAGGAGAGCCCAACAGGTGTGAAGGCCACTAGCCCATCACCTATTATCTTTCACCATCCATCTCCACTTTTCATTTTCTTTTTCTTCACATATATATAAAAATATTTATGGACGTCGTCTCTTCTTCCATCTCTTTCTTGTAAATATTTCTCTCACACAAGCACATAGTCACATACCAACGAGCACACACACATGAAGATAATTATTTTGGAAATAATTTGTTGAAATCTAGAGAGAAGCCCATATCTATTCTCTTCCCCTTTATGTCCATCTCACTAATTACTTTGCTTTTATCAGTTACTTGTCTTCTCTTTGTCTGTCTGTCTGTCTCTCTCCCTCTCTCCCTCTTCCCACACTCCTAGTAGTATAGTACGTATGTACATTTGTATGAACATGTAGTCCGTCCATATTCAGTGCTCTAGAAGGCTTTCCAAGCCAAATAATATGGTTGGTTAATTTAGTTGATATGAATATTTGAACGTGTTTCTTGAGGTGAGAGAATTCGAGTTATGTATTTAAGATTTAAGGTTTGATGATTTTGGAGAGATTCTAATTTAACATTAGGGTATCAAAACTTAGTTGAACAAATGGAATCAAATTTCTTTCTTTTTTTTTTTTTGGTAAGAGAAAATTAGGTGAAGAGGAGGTTCATCCCCATTTTTAAATCAAGGTATACCATTAATGTAGTAAGCAGTTTATAGTGATTATTACACATCGGTTTCAGCTGAAAGTATTGGATAATTTACGGTGCCATTGGAGTATTACAATAATCCTATAATTGGTTCAAACACTCCAACGATCTAGTAGCTAGATTATCCAAATATCTTTGTACCTTTAAAAAATAATGTTCATAGTATGCAAGATAACATGGAAGTAAAGACATAGTTAGACGATGATTTTGGGAATGGATAATTTGTCTTAGTATCTTAATTTATTGTGACAATGTCATCAAAATAATACACTAGTATAGGGATTGACCA